CCCCTGGGGGTGAGTTTTATTCCAGGCACCAAATGTATTCCAGGGCCATAGTATTGGGAGTCTCCCCAGACTTCATCTGACCAGTAATTCTGGTCATTATTGAGTTTTTGGATTTTGTTCCACGTTTTCCCTCCCACTCTATCCAGGATCTCCAGCTTTGATCCTTTCCTGAGTGGTTGGCATTGGTAGCTGGGCACCATCTGGTTCTTCTGGTCTCAAGGGCCATAGTGTCCTAGGGTTGATTGCTTCTAAATGCCCTTTTTCTTTTGTGTGTGTGTGTGTTCTTCTTCACTTCCAACGCTAGGAGACCATTAGCTGCATCCTAGATGGCTGCTTGAAAGCTTTTAAGACCCCAGTCGCTACTCACCAATGTGAGATGTGGAGCAATGCTTTTTTGTATTTTGTTGTGCCAATTGAGTCTGGTGTACCCCAGTACTGTGGTCCTGAGGTAGTAGCTATTGGATCTCTTTCCCATAGTGTTGGGGTGTCTGTGAGGGATTACTCTGTGTCTGTCTTCTATTGTTTCTGTAAGGACTGCAGGTATTTTGTATCACTGGTGTCTGTACAAGATTAGCCTCAGCTGACCCTGTCCTTGGTCTAGAGTATACCTCTATTCACTGATCCCGGTCTGATCATCTCAGGTGTTTATATGTTTATCTGTATAGCCTAGTGTTTGGTGTTAATGGCAGTGTGGTATTGTGGACACATTGGTTGGTTTTAACATCTGTCATCTATCTCTTATGTGCACAGCTTGGTGTCCTCTCATTTCTCTGGGGACTGTATTTTATGCTTGGTTTTCTTACCTGCTCTGTCTTCCTCAGGGGAGCTGAACTCACGGCTGAGCTCGGATACCACCTTGATGAGTAACTGGCTTCCTTTTAATGCCAATGTACTCTTGCGAAGCCTGGTGAAAGTGGTGGGACTATATTGCTTCATGTTCAGCCTGTCACCTCAACTCACTCTCCTCTCTCTGCTCAACATGCCGCTCTCATTAGCAGCTGACAAGGTGTACAATGCACGCCATCAGGTACTTGTGGATGTTAGGGGAAATCCCAAGGGAAGAATAAAACTTAAGAGGGGCTAAGGATCTCCCATTCATGGCTAGAGGTTCTTCTAGAGGTCTTCGTAGCTCTTCAAGCAGAAATTCTTAGTGGGTGTGGGGATGGGGTAGGAGTCTATGGATGGGCTTCAGATGATCCATGACCCCCTGTATAAAAAATTATGTGCCATGTCAATTTAGTTTTATGTGTTTCACTGTACATAAATTATATTCCAATAAAATGTATTCTAAAAAAGTTGTATGTGTATGAAAGAGAGAGAGAGAGAATTCTTTGGGAGAGAGAATATCCTTTTATCAGATTCTCAAAGGAGTCTGTACTTACCTTCCCCACAAAAGATTGAAAAAGCATCTGTTGGATAGAGATGTTTTTGTTTTATAATCAGTAGAAGGAATTTGAATGAGTGCAGAGAATGTCGAAGGTGCAGTCAGGAGGTCCTGAGTCTGAATGTCAGCTCCACCATCTCTTAATTGGCTGTAGCTCCTTTTGCAAACTACTCCCCCATTTCTTATCAAACACTGGAGGTGATATGAATGACCTCATATGACAGTGAAAAAAATAGCATGTATCTCCTACCCTGTCTAGCTCATTGATATTTTGTTCCCTCCTTCCTTCAGTCTCATTATTCCTTCTGGAAGGAAATGGAAGGAAGAGGGATGTTTATAGGTAGATTGGGAAGCATCCCCAGGGCTGCAATGAGACATGGACCTGCTATCTTCTGCCTTATGGACCCTGTATCTTCTGCCCACTCTTGCAGGCGTTGCTTAGGGAGATCCAGGATGCCATGGCAAAGGGAGGACAGATAGTGCAGGAGGCAGTTGGAGGGTTGCAGACTGTCCGGAGTTTTGGGGCAGAGGAACATGAAGTCTGTCGCTATAAGGAGGCCCTTGAACATTGCCAGCAACTGTGGTGGCGACGAGACCTGGAACGAGCCCTGTATCTGCTTTTCCGGAGGGTGAGCCACCGGGTGGGAAGAGCCCTGGGAGGGGGCAGTGGGAGGGTTGGGGAGGCGACAGTTGGTCCAGGTGTCCTGTTCAATGTCACAGACTCTTCAGCCTTATCTCTTTCTTCTCCCCTCACAGTTGCTGGAATTGGCAGTGCACGTGCTGATGCTAAGCTGTGGCCTACAGCAGATACTGGCTGGGGAGCTCACGCAAGGCAGGCTACTCTCTTTTCTGCTCTACCAAGAGGATGTGGCACATCATGTGTTTGTGAGTAAGGAGCCTGTGCATACAGCCCTTTTTCTCTCTGATTTTCTCTCTGGCCTTCTGGGTCTTGGGCTTTATTTGTTCCCTTTAAAGAAAACCTCATTCTCTTATGGAGAATTTCACACGTATGCAAGAGAGAAAATAATGTAATAAACCCTTACACAGGGTACCTATCACCTGCTTCATCAATCAACTCATGATCAAACTTGTGTCATCCATTTCCCCATCCATAGTATTTTTCCCCCCACCCATAGTATTTTGAAGCAGATGCCAGATACATCATTTCATCTATAACTATTCAATATGTATCTCTAAAATACAAATACTGCTTAAAAACAGAAGCAAAAACCATTTCCATGTCTAAAAAAATTAACAGTAATTCTTTAAATACATCAAATGTCTGGTCAAATATTTTTGTTTATCTTAAATATGCTATATACATGTGTGTATTATATGTGTGTGTGTGTATATATACACACACACAAACACATACACATACATATAAAATAGTTTGCTTGAATAGGATCCAGATAACATCTACATCGTGTATATATGTGTGTAAGTATATAATGCGTTTTTCTTCCTACAACTTATTTACTGAGGAAACAGTGTTGTTTGTGTTATAGAGTACTTTATAGTCTGGATTTTGTTGATCGATTCCCTGTGGTACTGTTTAGTATGTCCTCTGTCTCTGTATTTCTTGTCAGTTTGTAGTTGACTGGAGAGGCTTGTTAGATTAAAGCTTTTTAATGTATTTTCTAAAATTTTGGAAGACAGGCATACTTCCTAGATGATGGTATGCTCTTCCTTCAGGAGGCACACAACATCTAGTCCTCCCTGTGATGTCACCAGCTATTGATGCTCAGTGCCTAGATCTGTGAAATTACTAGAGGCTACAAAGTCATTATATTGTACCAGTGTTTCAATTATTAGTTGGAATGCATCTATCAAGGGAAACTTTCCCTCGTCTTCTACTTGGTGACCCAACTAGGAAAGACAGACTAAGCATTTGAATTCTTCCCCTGTATTTACCAGTGTTCAAAAATAATTAGTTACTTCATTTTATAATTTTCTTAGACATTTGTTAACTGTCTTTTCTGTGTAGAGAACTGTGCCAGGTATTCTAGTGACTGCAAAGATGAGTTAGACATGGGGCCTGCTTTTAAGGAGTTTTCTGTGTAGTCAGGCAAGACAGCTGGGTGTGAATACAAACCAGCAACTGAGGAGGCCTGGGATAGAAATCATGATGTTGGGATGAGTATGGACTTTGCCTTCCTTTGCAAATTGGAACACTGGCGATACTAGTCTCACTTTTAAATGCCATCCAATTTGCACATTGAAAGGTAAGAAACTCTTTTCTGTGTAAGAGAGGGGAGGAGGAACATGGCTGTGGGTAGAGCATGGTTGTTGTTGTTGTTGTTGTTGTTGTTGTTGTTATGTGCTGTTGAGTCTGACCCGACTCATTGCGACCCCTCCTTGGGTTTCCAAGGTGGTATCACTACCGAAGTAGATTGCCCCATCTTCCTTCCAAGGAGTGGCTGGTGGGTTTGAACCGCCAGCCTTCTGGTTAGCAGTCAAGTGCCTTAGGCACTA